GTCCAACATATATTTGAACAGTCTTCACTTCCAAAAATAATGTAGTTAAGAGTTTTATAACATTCCAAGGAGAACGAAGAAAGGAAGAAGGGGCATCAAGTTGCAATGAAATTTAAGACGTCATAATATAGATTCTAGCAAAGAAAAAATATTGACTCTTTCATAAAATATTATGATGATAGTAATTATGTACATGTACACTCTATTACACTCATGCAAAGCCATGCATTCGTAGCACTCAGACAAGATAGAGATTCTATAGCCGCATTTTACATTTAGGAGAGCTAGAAGAAACTATTCTTTGCTGTTATTCTCTAACCGCTTAACTAGACACAAAACAGGCAAACAATTGTTCTTTGTTTGAAAAATCTTTGCTGAGGTCCATCTTCCAATTTGCAATAAAAAAAATCTGGAGTCAGCATGCACTGTAATATTACAAAAGTACCGATGGCGAACTTTGGTGTATGCTCACATCATTCCAATCTGAAGATGTGTTTTTTTCTCTTGTTTATATTTTTAAATTCACGATTTCCAAAATTTTCGAAAAACCAGTTACACGGTAAGAGAATAACACCAGCATCGAATTTTGAATACGTGATGAGAGAGAAGAAGACTACAAGAAACTCAGGAAGTCATGAAATCGATCTGAACTTTTGAAAACTGACGAACAACGAAAACGACACGATTTTGTACAGGAGTTGAAATTTTGATTGTTTGATCAAATACATAGGTAAAAGTATACAGACATTTACAACGATTTTATAACGATGAGCTCTCTGACAGAGGGTGACAAAGGAGGACCTTTGCATGTATCTTAATAATAATAAAAGATAGCATTTGTATAGCGCAAATCCCCGCTCAACAGCAAGCTCTATGCGTTTCACAATCTATATTATTACCCCGGCAAACCTGAGAGCATTCTGAAACAACCTCAACTTCCCGGGAAGCATAAAGTCTTACAAAGACTTTTCCACAAAAGTGACACGACTGTGTGAGGGGAGAAATAAGGTACAGTGGAGAAATCAACAGACATTTCTCACACGACGATGCAATAAAATATAGTATTGGATCATAATATTTTGTCCTAAACTCGATTTTTCAGCCGTATCCATTCTAAGTACCTACAAAATCGTGGCACTCTTATCTTGGAAATTAGCCCAGGGCATTCCAATATCTACACGTTTGTATTTATATAGTTATGAGATACCAGGTTATGCCGCTTTCTCTTCTCATTCAATATGTTTTGAAATTGTGTTTCTTTCCGAAACTCTACACTGAATTCTTTTAAATTTTTCACCTAATAGCTTTGGAAAGACTTCTCTACTAGTTTCTCATCTTCGGATCTCTCGCTTCATATAATTATTTACTGTTTATTGTTCACTGGCGCTTTAATAAACAGAAGACAGAACAAGCTTCCAACAAGACAAACACAGCACTAACTTTTTATCTCCGCACGAGAACCCTTTCCACCCACCCCCCTAAAAAAACTCATCCAAAACAACAATCATACAAACAACAACAAACAAACACAAAACAAGAAACAAACAACTTCCTTAAACTAGTCAGTTATGATGTATATAAGAATGCTGACAGCAATGTACAATCAAAGCAGAGTATGTGAATGAAATATGATGCCAAAGACGAACATAATTTTATCAACATCGAAAATGGCGTCTCGAATGAAGGAAATAATTTACAGTACATTAAGTACACGCCGACAAAATCTGGTGACCACATTCATAAACTGACATAATTATGGACAAATAACAAACAAGCAAATAGATCTGAGAGGGTCTTCACAGCACGTTTGTGAAAAATCACATCCATAATTATCTGACAACGAAACAATGTTGACTGGTCAATAGTGGAGCAGTGCGAACGATTGGTAAGAAAAACAAACTAATGGCATTACTTAGAGGAGAAAAAAGATATGTACACCAGAGTCATGAGAAGTGGGGATTGAAGACGATGGCAAACAAATCGAAACAGAGAAGAAGTAGTTGTGAATTTATCCACATAAGAAATATTTGAGGCACCGTGGTGAAATCAGGCGCTCGTCAAAATACGGAAACTGGAGAAACAGGCTTTCTTCCGCCAGTTTGGAAATTTTTATAAATATTTTTTTTCGGCTCAACCTCTTTCATCTTCATATAAAAACACATCCCCCTGTGAATTTTACTGAAAATCATTGTTTAAAGGCACACAACATTTCATTTTTCAATTTTCAAGGACACTTTAGCTATTGGAGTTACTAAACTTTGTTGCCCATTTTCTCGCTAATTTCACCACTGAAACCAGGCAGCCTTACTTCCTTCAGTCCCAAATATCTTGAGTTCTATTCAAGCTAGATGGATATTATTTATTTAATTGAAAATCAGCTTTTTAATGATACCAATAACTCCACATGCCCCAAATTTTCAGGATAAGCGCCTGATTCCACCGCGTCGTGTCACATAATATTATACTTCAGTTAGTGAAACGGCATTGCACATGGTTCGTTTAATATATATATGTATTGACGACGAGTACACTTAAGACTGTACATACTTTTTCATAATGGAGATGGTTTTGAAGATGATTCCTGTGACAGTGAAATCTACAATGGGCATTGTTGTATTGTCGAGACAGTTTACTAAGATATGCCTCTCGATGATACGGTGAAGGGAGGGGGAGGGAAGATGATGATGGTTGTGATGATGACAGTGGTGGTAATGATGATGATGATGATGATGATGATGATTATTATTATGATGATGGTTGTGATGACGGTGGTAGTGATGATGATGATGATGATGATGATGATGATGATGATGATGATGAATGCACGTAGCATAATCGCTCACAGTGTGTTCATTCAACTACATATTGTAAAAATCATAGCAACCTTATATAAACAAACAATATCGGAATGGCAAAGACAAAAACCTCAAGGTTTCCAAAAAAATAATCATCAAAATAAAAATGCGGAAATTCTGCTCCTTATTAGCATAATATTATTTGCCTGTTTAAAAATCTCCGGACATAGGAGTGTGCAACTATCTTCTTTTTTTCCAAAACGTACAATACATAAAAAATATGTAAATGTGTACTTTTTACAAAAATAAGAGATTTCGAAATATCGCTATACATTTAAATATACACTCTTTTTTATCGAAACATAATGCTTATTAAATTTTTTCATTACTTTTGTGGCCAGTTGGCTTTTGTTATGCTACGATAAAAAGTGTTCGATTGTTAAAAAAATGTAACAAATCATTTTGAATAAGTTGAAGAATGCTTTCATTCGTTGTTGTTTTTTCGCAGAAAATTATTCCCTTGTTTTGTTAGTTGTGGGATTTTCCTCATCAAAAGCAAAGGACCTAAATTAACTCAAAGATAATTATCAATTAAAATCATTGTTGTGATACACAATTGAAATGTACGATCTCAGCAAAATGTATAAAATTATCTTACCTCTGGGGTGCTCATAAATCTTATACTTCATTTGTAAATTCTACTCTAATACTTTTTAACCCGAGAAAATCTATGTATAATATAATAATATTCATATAATCAACGCATAAAACAAGTAAACTTGGTCCTTCAGTATACAAAGCAGAGAAATTAAATAATAATTTCGCCATTTCGTCAATAATACCAGCAAACTACATGTACCTTAGACTCAGTCAAAAAATAAATGGTAGCATAAAAAGCATCATAATGCTCATATGTTGCTCGACAGGTCATTGCACGTAGAAATATTTGTACAGCACATAAACACACAAAATAATCTGGATATTGAGCATGTAATTATTGTTACATGACGATTTCTTGCAGAATAAATTAATTACTCAGTCACAGACGATTTTACAATTACAATGCATGCAACCACGTTCATGAAACGCACATATACAATTTCAATTTACAGTTATTTTCTTTGGTGACTAAGCATCGGCGAAAGTTAACTTGGAACCACTTCTACCCTCCCCTCCCGATTCGGAAGCGAATTGACCTGTTCTGCTGCAAATAAGGTCACCATGGGGGCCACGGTGTGGTCAGTGTTATAATATTTCACAGGTCAAGGACAAGCTGCTGGCGGTGAGTGTCATCTGTCCATGTATAGATGTAACGCCTCTTTGAACAAGGAAGCTTATTTGGTCGCTTTTAAGCACGATAGGGCTATCCCGAAAAATGCTGTTTCGAGAAAATCGAAGGTAAAGTTTTTGCCCCTTGTTCAGTTTCTTTAAACAATAAGGAGAGCTTTCACTATAACTAAACAAACATACACACCAATGAAACCAGACTTTTCCTTTAGGTAGGGCAATGCCCATGTTTATATAGGTCTAGATTTCTGGAAACCCCCGAAATCTGGGTTAGCCCGCTTGTTGTTAAAAGCGATCATTTAAGAGGCGGGGCCTCCAAATTTGATATCCATCTCAGATTAGGACTGACCAAAATTGGGAGGAGTGGGGGGGGGGGGGGGGTTAGAGATCTTCCTAAACTATAATCCAGCATGTCATCGGGGTTAAAAATGATCGTTGTCATGCGCAAAAGCATCAGGAGTAGGGGATATGGGGGGGGGGCACGGAGGTAGGTGGGAAGGGGGGTAGAGGATCATACTTTATATTCGCCGTATCAACGTTTGAACTGTTTGTAAACTCATGTACTAAGAGGGATATCGATGTATGTTTGAAGGTATGTGTTTGCTCGAAGATAAGGGAAGGATACACTTTATCATTGTTATTCAAAAAAAAAAAAAGAAAAAAAAAGTAAACCACCGTCTGCCGCCTGTTTACACAGATAAGGGAAGGATACACTTTATCATTGTTATTCCAAAAAAAAAAAAGAAAAAAAAAGTAAACCACCGTCTGCCCCCTCTCTCTCTCTCTCTCACTTTCTCCCTCTCTCTCTCTCTCTCTCTCTCTCTCTCTCTCTCTCTCTCTCTCTGTCCACTTTCAAGACCCCCCCTCTCCCTCTCTCTATTTCTCTCTCTCTCTCTCTCTCTCTCTCTCTCTGTCTTTCTCTTTCTCTCCCCTCCCCCTCTCTCTCTTTCATTCTCTCGTTCAACGTCTCTATCATACCCTTTTTCTCTCTGCCTCTATCAATCTTTTCCATTTTACCACTTCCCACTCTTACTCGACATTTGTGTACATTTGTGTAAAGTCACAACGTCGGACTGCTCTGAGCCTCAAACCCCAATACCCTTATTTTTTTTCACGATTATGGGCCCAGCAGCCTGACAACTAAACTTTGGACGCCACACGCATAAGGGTAAATCAAGAATAAAATTCGTTTTACATAATAACTGACTGTAGTTAAGACCAACTTATCAACGACTATGCTTGATGTTTGTCACAAAAAGGTTTCTAGCAGGCACCAACAAGCACACTCAGATATACTTCTGTGATATTCTTGAATTTATCATGGCATTTATCATTGGAGATTGAGAAGTAGAAAAAAAAATCATATTCTCATGCGATACAAACAGTAAATCATGTTTTATCTCTCCTTGATTCGTCAACACAAATCTACACCTTGATTCCTTTGAAGCCTCACAAAAGCGAAGCACACATTTAAATGAAAACACAGTGTTATACTCTAACCGTATGGCTGAAAGAAATAGGTCAACCCTTCGTTTTCTTAATTCTAAAATTATTTCCAATGTTGATCTGAGGGTCCTGTGTAATAACCAGAAGTCAGCCTGCACTGCACAAAATACGAAAGTTCTGTAGACTGGCTTTGTTCATTCATCGTTCGAATCAGAAAGTTTGGCTTGTTTTGTTGTTGTTTGCTTGTTTTTTTCTTGTGTTTACTGTTTGAAGCATTTTCAAAAATCCATAGACAGGGAAAGAGAATAGCACTGCCTAAAAACAGATTTACAGCTGACAGAAACAGTGATACTTTCAATACTTTCATGGTGCAACCACGGCGTTGCGAAGTGATACCGCAAGGGCGATCACTAAGAACATTTCTGAAGCTTCCGTAAGTACTGCAGAGTTGTTGTCTTTTCCTGTGATCTGTACTTTATCCTCTGAGGAATAAAAATACAAATCCTGAAATGATGTTTTCGGTTCTTGGATTTTTGTTTTGTTTTGTTGTTTTTTTCGGTGAAGAGAAACACATCCACAACAGTGCTGTCATATTGTACAGGAGAAAATTCATTGACAAAAGTGTGCATTTCTAATAATCAGAAAAGTAGGAATTTACAAAACAAACTTCTAAAAATACCCTCAGGCATTTGTCTTTAAAGTAAAAGAAAAAGAAATACAATGGCCTAATACCACAAGAAATGAACATCTAATGATAACAAATAAATCGGCCCCCCAAAAAACAACAACAGAAACAACAAATCAATAAAGAAATCATTAAAAGAAAAGGGAACTGGATTAGACACATTTTGAGAAAATGTAAAATAAATAGTACCCATCAAGCCTAAGGGTTGAGTTTACGAGGACCGGGGGGGGGGGGGGGGGGGTTATAATAATAATAAAAATAATAATAATAATAATAATAATAATAATAATAATAATAATTATAATAATAATAAATAATAATAACCATAATAACCATAATAATAATAATAATAATAATAATAATAATAATAATAATAATAATAATAATAATAATAATAACAATAATAAAAAAATAATAATAATAATAATAATAACGAAAACAATATTAAGACATCTAAATATAAAAAGGCGCACAGTTACGACAAACTTACGAGATCGTGAACTCTGAGGTGTTTTGTAGATGTTGTGCTCATCGTTGATGACGTCTTTGTTCTTGCCCTTCCCGCCACGCCCCCTTTGCCTCGTAGACAGATTCTGATTGGTTTAAAGAAAACAGAGGTATGCTATTCTGATGGCTGTAACACAATTGCCAAAGTCATTTTAAATACAGTGCATATAAATTTCGACTTATGGTTTGATAGAAAATGAACATTGATTCTAATTGATAGGATTATTAGTGCACGCCTAGCAAGTACTAAATTACGTCATATTTACTGTTTCATGCCTGTGACAAACATCCTACTACCTATCTGTCTGTCTGTCTGTCTGTCTGTCTGTTTGTCTGTCTGTCTGCCTGCCTGTCTGTCTGTTTGTCTGTCTGTCTGTCTGTCTGTCTGTCTGTCTGTCTGTCTGTCTGTCTGTCTGTCTGTCTGTCTGTCTGTCTGTCTGTCTGTCTGTCTGTTTGTCTGTCTGTATGTCTGTCTGTCTGTCTAACTGTTTCTCTCCCTCTCTCCTTCTCTCATTTTCTCTCTGTGTCACTCTCTACTAAACATAAACTCAGATACACACAGAGAAAGGCACACACACACACACACACACACACACACACACACACACACACACACACACACACACACACACACACACACACACACACACACACACGTATACAAAGACACAAATACACAAATACAAACACTTTCTCGCAAACACACACTCACATACACACGTACACACACACACACACACACACACACACACACACACACACACACACACACACACACACCCGCACGCTCGCACACCGCGTTATAATACACGTAATCTCTTTCACATGTGCCATCCCCACAAAACTGACTATCGAGAATTCTTACTGAGGAAGGCTGGTTGGGTTTCCTCATGAGGTGTCGATATATGGTCGTTGTTGTCGTCGTTGATGTTGTCGTCGTTGTAGGAGGCCTCTTTGTCCTCTGTCTATGCTCTGTGTAGGATTAGAAATTTAACAACAAATTGATAAGACAAATAATATTAAATTTTGTAAACAATACTTTCTTTTCTTGACTTCCCTCATAATCTTGAAAGTCAACAGAGAAATGGCGGGCGGATTGTTTGTGTTCTTTATGATAAAATGGATAAATGCATTAACAAAATCTATTATGATAGATACATTTGTTGGCAAAAAATCTGTCTCGACAGCGCTCGTCAGGTACGTAGGTGAAATAGCATGCTATTATGATTGTATAGCTGTGAGCTTGTGTATTACGTTCAGTTGATACAATATTCCCATCATGTATTCATTACGTAATTATGTGTGTATAGGTCATTGTAATTAAAATGTCTCTGTAGATATAATTTTTTTCAGAGAGCACATTTACATATTCTAATGTGTGTGTTTACCATCGTGAACTGAATTTCACCATTAGTTGTTTTTAAAAAAAATTCATCTTTCTTTAATGTTTGTTACGTTGTAAGAGTTTCGAGACAACACCCGACTGGTGAAATCCCCTTTTTACAGTGTGAATATCAAACCACGTTTTAAACTCTAAATAGTTCCAGCTGAGCAACAACACTGTCCATGACATAATAATCTTGACATACGTGTTTTTTCTGGGTTAGTGGAAGAACGGTTGAAGCGACCTGCCTCCTAAATAATCTAAAGTACGTCTAAAGGAGTATAAAACATTAATGATCAGTCAGTGGAACCTAAACTCCGAACTCATGGCGCAGGGTCTTTTTCTCTAAATAACTGGCCTTCTAAATAATTCATGTATAGATATATCTACATTTAATCGATGGGACCTTAAAATTCAACTTGCAGGATCATCTTCTCAAAGTAGCTGACCTCCAAAACAACTTAAATTATGTCGACGGGGCTGTAAAACTCACTTTGTAGGATCTCGTTTCAAAGTAGCTTGCATCCTAAATAACCTAAATTGCATCGATGAGACCATAACACTCACCGTGTTGGATCATCTCCTTGAAGCAACTGCCCTCCTCAATAATTGTTATTTAGATTACTACCCAAAATTACGTCAATTGGGCCGAAAACTCACCGCGCAGGATCATCCACGTGAAGCAGTTAAACATCTAAATAACCTAAATTGTATTGATGGGACCGTAAAATTCGTCTTTTAGGGTCATCTTTTCGAAGTGGCTGTCTTCCTATAAATAACCTAAATTGTATCGATGTGACCGTAAAACTCAGAGTGCATTATCATCTTCACGATGCAGTGGCCTCCTAAAATTTTTTAAAATGTTACTTGGATCACAAACCCAAATTGTGTCGTTTGGGCCGTAAAACTCACCGTGGGGATCATCTTCTCGAAGTAGTTGGTCTCCTAAATAATTCTTATTTAGCTTACAATTACAAACTCAAATAGTGTAGACAGGGCGTAAAAGTCACAGTGTAGAACCATCTTCTCAAGGTAGCTGGCTTCCTAAATATTTGTTATTTAGATTACAAACCCAAATTGTGAAGATAAGGTCGTAGAACCTTCCGTGTAAAATAATCTTTTCAAGGTAGCTGGCTTCCTAAATAATTGTTATTTTAGATTACAAACACACTATGTATTGTCATCGTCTCGAAGTAACTGTTTTCCGAGATAACCTAAACTGTGTCGATGGGGACGTAAAGCTAAACCTTTAGGATCATCGTCTTAAAATAGCAGGTCTCCTAAATAATACTTTCGTTATTTTGACTTCAATTAAAAACCCAAACTGTGTCAAGGGGGCCTTAAAATTCACCATGTAGGATCATCTTGGTAAAGCAGTTGCTTCCTTAATATCTTAGACTGTGTCAATAGGGATGTAACATTCACATGGTAGGATGATCTTCTCGAAATAGTTGATCTCCTAAATAACCTAAATTATGACTATAAGGTCTTAAAACTCACCGTGTAGGATCATCTTCTCGGAGGCGGTGCCCATGTCATTGGTGGCCGTGCAGATGTATGCGCCATAGTCCTTGGGCTGGATGTTCTTCACACTAAGGGTCATGGTCAGTTTCGTCTCGTCCTCGTTGTGGCTGAAGATGTCCAGCTGGTTAGAAAGGGGGGGGGGAGTGGAGTGTTTGATTGATTTGATTGCTTGGTTGATAGACTGATTGGTTGAAAAGGTAATCGATTGATGGATCGAAGGATTAATGAACTGATGGAGTTATGAATTAAAATTGTAATGAATTTATAGATTCGTGGGTTGATGGATATACAGATATATTGATTAATCTCAATTTTAAAGTTGTGAGTTGTACATAAGTGCCTTAATCATTTATATTTATATGAACTTCTACTATTTCAGTAAATTGTGCGTTTGGTCGTGAAACTTCCAGTGCTGGTAAAAATCTAAAAGTATTTTTGCACGTCTAGTTGTAGAAACTAACACACTATTTTGTTTAATCACAAATGCGAGCATTTTATAGGATTATTTGTACTAATAATCTCTGTCCAAACTTAAGAGTTGTTCTCAAAAGCATGAGGCATCTTAATTTTTATGTCATTCTACTATGTCAGTAAATTGTGTGGTCGGTCGTTACACTTTCAGTAATGGTAAGTATATTTGCAAGCCTAGTTGTAGAAACTAGCAAACTATTGTTTTAAAACAGATGCTTGCATTATATTTGAAGTTTTGTACAGTTACTCTCTGTCCAACCTTGCATGTGGTTCTCAAATGCATGAATCATCTTTATTTCTATGTCCATTTACTATGTCAATCAATTTAATGGTCGGTCGTTAAACTTTCAGTGATGGTAAAAATCTAAAAGTATTTTTGCATGCCTTATTGTAGAAGCTAACGCACTGTATTGTTTAAAAACAAATGCAAACATTTTATAGGATTATTTGTGCTAATAATCTCTATCCAAACTTAAGAGTTGTTCTCAAAAGCATGAGACATCTTTATTCTTATGTCATTCTACTATGTCAGTAGATTATGTGGTCGGTCGTTACACTTTTAGAAATGGTAAACATCTTTAAGTATATTAATTGCAAGCCTAGTTGTAGAAACTAGCACAGTATTGTGTTTTAAAACAGATGCTTGCATTTTACGGGAATTCTTGTACTGTTAATATCTGTACAGCCTCGCATGTTGTTCTCAAATGCATGAACAATCTTTATTTCTATGTCCATTTACTATGTCAGTAAAGTGTGCTGTCGATCGTTACACTTTCAATGATGGTAAAAATCTTTCATCATTTTAGCATGCCTAGTTGTAGAAAATAACTCACTATATTGTTTAACCACAAATACAATCATTTTACAGGATTATCTGTGCTATTAATCTCGAAGCAAACTTAAGAGTTGTTCTTAAAAGCATGAATCTTCTTTATTTCTATGTCACTCTACTATTTCAGTCAATTGGGCGGTCGCTCGTTACAATTTCAGAGATGGTAAACATCTGTTAGTTTATTTACATGCCTAGATGTAGAAACGAACACACTCTAGTGTTTAGCCACAGGTGGGAGCAGTTTGTAGGATTTTTCGTACAGCTAAGCTTTGCCCAAACTTAGTTATGTTCTGAAAAGCATTAAGCTTTATCAATTCATATCCGTCTACACGGTCAGTAAACAAGAGTTGTTCTTAATAGCATGAAGCATCTTTTTTTCGATATCTTTCTACTATGTCAGTAAAGTGTGTAGTCGGTCATTACATGTTCATTGACTTTAAAAATCTCTTAGTATTTTTGCATGCCATAGTGGTAGAAACTTACACACTATTTTGTTTAACCAAAGGTACGAACATTTTATAGACTTTTTGTGTACTCTTAAACTCTATCCAAAATTTGAAGTGATCGCAACATCTTTAATCATCTTAATTTCTATACCCTTCTACTGTGTCAGTAAATGGTACTTTTGATTGTTACACTTTCATGAATGGTAAAAATGTATTATTTTATTTGCATGCCTAGTTGTCGAAACGAACACATTTTTGTATTTAAGCACAGGTGGGAGCGTTTTTAGGCTCTTTTGTACAGCTAAACTCTGTAAAAAATTAGAGGTGTTCTTTAAAGCATGAAGCGTCTTTAATTCTATGTCCGTTTAAAATATCAGCAAATTGTGATGTCATTCGTTTCACTTTCAGGGATGGTAAAAATCCATTTTGCATACCTTGTTTTACAAACTAATATGCTATTATTGTGTTTAGCCACAGATGCGAGCATTTTATAGGAACTTTTGTAATGTTAATATCTGTCTAAACTTAGAAGTTGTTCTCAAATGCATGAATCATCTTTATTTCAATGTTCATTTACTATTTTAGTAAATTGTCCGGTCGGAATTTACTCTTTCAGGGAAGGTAAAAGTCTGCGGTTTTCTTCTTTTTTTTGCTTGCCTAATTGTAGAAACTAACACACTATTTTGTTTAACTACAAATGCGAGCATTTTGTGGAATTATTTGTACTGTTCATGAATTGATGGATTATTTGATTGATGGCTTGATGGTTTGATGGATTGATGGCTTAATCGATTGATCGATTGATGGAAGAGGGCAACATAATTAAATTCAAATATACTCAAAGTTGTAATACAAAAGAAGAAGGAAAAAAAAAGAATTTCTTCAAGTGTAGGTACACGACAAAGAAAGATCTATTTATTTATTTATTTATTTATTTAT